GCCGCACCTCTCCCTCAGCTACGAGAGGCTGTTATTCCTACACCGGAGCGATACGCTGGAGATTTGGGTATTTGTAGAGCCTTTTTGTTCCAGTGTTCGTTAGTTTTTGAGCAGCAGCCTAGTACTTATCATACAGACGGGGCTAGGGTAGCATATGTCATGAGTCTGTTGAGGGGGAGTGCTCTAGATTGGGCTACAGCCGTTAGGGAGAGCCAGCCACACATTTGCTTATCATTTGATACTTTCATTTCCGAAATGAAAAAAGTTTTTGATCACCCGGTACGGGGGAGGGACGCTTCTAGGCGCCTTCTTTCTCTCCGGCAGGGCTCCCGTAGTGTAGCCGAATTTTCAGTTGAGTTTAGAACAGTTGCTGCTGACTCAGGCTGGAATAACGAGTCATTGCAAGATGTTTTTCTTCAAGGGCTGAACGAAGCAATTAAAGACGAGCTAGCTGCTAGGGATGATCCAGTTAGCTTGGATAATTTAATTGCCACAGCTATCAAGATTGATAATCGCCTCAGAGAGAGACGCAGGGATAGGAATAGCCGTCACCCCAATCCCAGCTACTCCTCACTTGATCCCCGAATTGGCACTGCCACTGCCCCAATCTCCAGATCCTTTCCGACTCCTTTCTCGGTTTCACCCCCCGAAGATGAGCCCATGCAAGTGGGAAGGGCCCGCCTCTCACCATCTGAGCGGGCTAGAAGGATCCAGGCTGGGGAATGTGTTTATTGCAGCCAAACCAGTCATCTAGTTTCCTCCTGTCCTAATCTGCCAAAAGGTCAGGCTCGTCAGTAGCTGTGGGGATTCTGGCGAGCCCTTCCTCCTCTCTCAACCCCCGACCCAGAACGCAGCTAGAAGCCGTTCTTTGCTGCAACCAACAGTCACTACCCCTGCTCGCCTTAGTGGACTCAGGGGCGGACGAGAATTTTTTGGACATTGACATTGCAGCTCAGGCAGGAATTCCCTGCGAAGTGTTAGATTCACCTCTTAATGCCAATGCTCTAAATGGACAATTCCTGGCCCAAGTCACTCACCGCACCAAGCCAGTAAACCTCATTCTGTCTGGAAACCATCGTGAGTTTATTCAGTTTCACCTTATTTCCTCACCTCATGCTCCCATAGTGTTGGGTCATCCCTGGTTAAGAACACACAACCCCCAGATTGATTGGATAACTGGCAAAATCATTAGTTGGAGTTGTTTTTGTTTATCCTCATGCCTGCAGTCTGCCCTGCCGCCAGCAGAGGCCGCCGCTCCACCACCCAAGATCGAGCCGCCTGACCTGTTATCTGTCCCCATGGAATATCATAGCCTAGGAGAGGTGTTCAGTAAACAGCGAGCTCTTTCTCTTCCTCCTCATCGACCCTACGACTGTCCCATTGACCTCCTTCCCGGGGCCCCTCTGCCTTCCTCACGTCTGTTCAACCTGTCTCGCCCTGAGAGAAAATCCATGGAGAGTTACATCCATGACTCCCTGGCTGCTGGTGTCATCCGCCCATCCTCCTCCCCGGTCGGTGCTGGGTTCTTCTTCGTGTCCAAGAAGGACCGCTCACTGCGGCCCTGCATTGATTACAGGGGTCTCAATGCCATCACTATAAAAAACAAATATCCATTACCCCTCATTAACTCCGCCTTTGAACCCCTCCAGGAAGCCACCATCTTTTCCAAACTGGACCTCCGCAATGCCTACCACCTCGTCAGAATCCGTGAAGGGGACGAGTGGAAGACTGCCTTTAATACACCACTCGGTCACTTTGAGTATCTGGTGATGCCTTTTGGACTGACGAATGCCCCAGCAGTTTTTCAGTCAATGGTGAACGATGTGCTCCGTGACCTCCTCAACCGGTCAGTCTTTGTCTACTTGGATGACATTCTCATTTTCTCCCGTAACAAGGAGGAGCACATTATCCATGTCAGGCAGGTGCTGCAGAGACTCCTTGAAAACAGACTCTTTGTGAAGGCGGAGAAATGTGAATTTCATGTCAACACAGTCTCATTCCTGGGCTACATCGTTGAGGAAGGAAAGATTAGGACCGACCCTGAGAAGATCCAAGCGGTGGCGGGGTGGCCCAAACCAACCTCAGTTAAACTGCTTCAACAGTTTCTTGGTTTCGCCAATTTTTATCGGCGCTTCATCAGAGACTACAGCAGAGTGGCGGGCCCTTTAACCAGACTCACTTCCCCTACAACTGGTTTTTTCTGGACCCCAGAGTGCGATGCAGCCTTCTCGGAGCTAAAGAGACTTTTCACCACTGCCCCTGTGCTCATCCACCCTGATTCCTCTCGCCAGTTTGTGGTGGAGGTCGATGCCTCCAACACCGGGGTAGGGGCAGTTCTTTCCCAGCGCTCGGAACGAGACCAAAAATTACATCCTTGTGCATTTTTCTCTCGCCGCCTCACTCCAGCTGAGAAGAACTATGACGTGGGTAACAGAGAGCTGCTGGCTGTCAAACTTGCCCTAGAGGAGTGGAGGCACTGGCTGGAGGGAGCCGAGCTCCCTTTTATTGTATGGACAGACCACAAAAACTTGGCGTACATCCAATCTGCCAAGCGCCTTAACTCTCGTCAGGCTCGATGGGCCCTGTATTTCGGCCGCTTCTCATTCACCCTTACCTACCGTCCAGGGTCACGGAACCTCAAGCCGGACGCTCTCTCTCGCCAGTTCGCTTCCGAAGGACCAGCTGCCAATCCAGACACTATCCTGCCTGCCTCCTGCGTGGTGGCGGCTGTTACCTGGGAGATTGAGTCATTGGTTAAGGAGGCTCAGCGGGCGCAACCTAACCCAGGTAACTGCCCAGCTAATAGTCTTTTTGTGCCTACCCCTGTTCGCTCCAAGGTCCTGCAGTGGGCACACACCTCCCGTCTCTCCTGTCATCCTGGTGTCCATCGCACACTGTTTATTCTAAAACAACGGTTCTGGTGGCCTTCCATGGCTCAAGACACCAGGGCCTTTGTTGCTGCCTGTACAGTATGTGCCCGCGCCAAGTCCTCCCACCAATCTCCCTCTGGCCTGCTTCGCCCGCTGCCGGTACCTAGGCGTCCTTGGTCGCATGTGGCCTTGGATTTTGTCACTGGACTTCCACTGTCACAAGGAAATACCATCATCCTAACTATTGTGGACAGATTTTCCAAGATGGTACACTTTGTTGCTCTTCCCAAGCTTCCCACAGCCCGAGAGACTGCAGATCTTCTGGTCAATCATGTTGTTCGACTCCATGGGATTCCCACCGACATCGTCTCTGACCGGGGTCCCCAGTTCATTTCCCACGTTTGGAAAGCCTTCTGTCAGGCTCTGGGAGCATCAGTGAGCCTGTCATCTGGATATCATCCTCAGACGAATGGGCAAACGGAACGGGCCAACCAGGATCTGGGGGCGGCTCTTCGCTGTGTGGCTTTCAGGAACCCTTCGTCATGGTGCCCACATCTGCCATGGATCGAATATGCCCACAACTCCCTGTCAAATGCAGCCACAGGTATTTCACCCTTTCATTGTGCCATGGGTTTCCAACCACCCCTGTTTCCATCCCAGGAAGAGGAGGTTGCTGTTCCTTCCGTTCAGACCCACCTTCGTCGCTGTCATAAGGTGTGGAGGGACACCCGAGCCGCCCTGCTCCGCTCCGCTGCCTGCAACTGCCTCATCGCAGACCGCCACAGGACCCCGGCTCCCAACTACTTACCAGGTCAGAGTGTTTGGCTTTCCTCCAAAGATCTCCCACTCAAGACAGAGTCGAAGAAACTCACGCCACGTTATGTCGGCCCCTTCATCATCGACTCAGTTATCAACCCATCTGCAGTAAAACTCAAGCTTCCCCCACACATGAAGGTTCATCCGACATTTCATGTTTCTCTGTTGAAACCTGTTGCCAGCAGCCCCTTGTCTCCTCCAGTGAGTGTTCCCCCACCCCCCCGCATCATCAATGATCACCCAACCTACACCGTCAGGCGATTGTTGGACGTTCGTCGCCGTGGAAGGGGATTCCAATATTTTGTGGTTTGGGAGGGCTATGGTCCAGAGGAGAGGTCTTGGGTTCCCCGGCGAAACATCGTGGGCGCGTCCCTGGTTCGGGACTTCCACCGTGATAACCCTGGTAGACCTGGTAGACCTGGTAGACCGCCTGGAGGCGTCCCTTAAGGGGGGGGGTACTGTGGTGGCTCTACTCTTCAGCCACCTCCCTTGTGAGTGTGTGTTCCCTTTCCCTGTCTGTGTGGGCGTGGTGGCTGTTACTCCTGGCTCCCGGCTCAATCTCCACCTGCTGCAATCAGCTTACACACCTGATTCCCATTCAGCCATTTACTAATGGTATATCAGCGGAGGCTCCACAACATGTCAGCGCCAGATCGTTGTTTAAACCCCAGTGGTAACTCTCAGCCTTCTTAGCCGATTTAAGCTATTTCTCTGTACATGGAATACGTTTCTCACCTGTTTCTCTTATGCTCCAGGATCACTCTCCAGCCGCCTAGTTACCATCACCTGCAGCCACCAGTCATCATTCCAACCGGATTACTCTCCACGCTCCTCCACCTCACAATAAACCTTTTTCCAACACTCTGCCGTGTCCTGCGTTTGGGTCCTATCGGATATCGTAACAGATATACACCTGAACATCAGCAGGAGAGGACTCTTTAAAGTAGAGACACTACATACTGATATACACCTGAACATCAGCAGGAGAGGACTCTTTAAAGTAGAGACACTACATACTGATATACACCTGAACATCAGCAGGAGAGGACTCTTTAAAGTAGAGACACTACATACTGATATACACCTGAACATCAGCAGGAGAGGACTCTTTAAAGTAGAGACACTACATACTGATATACACATTCATTTATTATTATTTTCTTAATCCTAAAAATAAATAAAAAATGCAAATATCTTGTTTCAGAAAAATAATTTACAAATATTTTTTTAATTAAAAAAACAAAAGACTGAGATTTTGTCCTCTTAAATCTTTTATTAACAAGAAAAACCTCAACATTTTATTTTGTACAGACATGTAAATGTGGCACTCATCTCACATCTTGAAAATAGAAACACAATTTATTACAAAAAGTTAGCTTTTATTTTAATGTGTTTTATTTCCTTCTTCAAACTTTCCTTTATGCATTCAACACATTGAGACTTAGAAACACATTGAAGACATTTAGAATAAAATATCTACAATGAAAGAAGCTCTGGTGCTTTCTCTCTCTCATGCTTTACAAGAGAAACAACAACATACAAATAAATCAATATCGATATTCAACAAATATTTAGAGCAAAGTTTACATTTCCATGCAGAGAAATATGAGTTGAGGTTAACAGAAATCCTCCTGAGCAGTGACAGCCTCCATGGCTAAACAGACACAGGAAGGAGCGCCGCCTAAAGAAACTCCAACATCTACAGAACAACTCATGAGAAGATGTTAAAGCACATCCCATAATGTTTGATTGACAGCTGATCTCTGTGCAGTGAAGACATGAACAATCAGCTCTCAGCAACAATGATGGACACACAATGAGTTTAAGAAGTAGAAGAGTTCCTCAAATGACTTCTGGCTATTTCAGTTTACACAACTCGGCTGTGGTTCCATGATAACAATAAAGCAAAACTCCAGCATGTAGCGGCTGAGTGAATGTGGTCTGGACTCTGTGGAGGAGAGTCATGGTTTCAGAGACGCTGTAGAAGGACAGAATACCTGCTCTGTGATCCAGGTACACTCCTACTCTGGAGGACTGAGGACCTGAGACGGGAGTGTTGATTCTGTTGTAATTAAATGAATAACTGTTTTGCTCATAAATTAACGCCCAAGATTTGTCATTGAATCCAAATAAACTTTCATACACACTCCCTGCTCTGCTGATATTCTTGTATGCGACTGCTACATGAACTGCTCTCCCTCTCCACTCCACCTCCCAGTAACAACGTCCAGTCAGACTCTCTCTACTCAGGACCTGAGGCCATACAGTGAATCTGTCTGGGTGACTAGAATAAGACTGATGTTGTTTCATGAATGTTGCTTTTCTGCTCCCCTCAGATAATAACAGCCGTGTGTGTGCTGTGTTTGGATCCAGTGTAATCTCCTGTGAATATTTTAAGAACCCAGCTCTGGTGGTGGGCTCTGCTGCTGACAGTAAAACATCCACTTCAGTCGGTGAGACGTTTGTCCATTCCTCTCTCAGGACGTCCTGTAGTTTGTCTCTGACTGATGACAGGGCTGCCGTCACGTCCTCAAAGTAGCTCAGAGGACGGATGTTGATGCTGGAGGAGTGTGTAGGTTCACTGAGGGCTGACAGTGAGGGGTAGCTGTGCAGAAACTGGTTGTGATCCTCTGTGTGAGACAGCAGCTTCAGCTCAGCGTCTCTCCTCTTCAGCTCAGCCATCTCCTGCTCCAGCTTCTCCTGAAGCTCTTTGACTCGACTCACTTCACTCTTCTGCTGGGATCTGACCTGCTGCTTCACATCAGAGCTTCTTTTCTCCATGAGACGGATAAGCTCAGTGAACATCTTCTCACTGTCCTCCACTGCTTTATCAGCAGAGCCATTGACGGCCTCCACCTCCTGCTGAAGCAGCTTCACCTCCTTCTCTCTGTCCTGGATTCTCTGCTGGATGTTTAGTCGACTCCCCTCCAGCTCTCTCTGCCTCTCAGTTCTCTGTGCTGCAGCTGTCACTGTGTCGTGGCCTTTGTGTTCATCCACAGAACAGAGATAACAGATACACTGCTGATCAGTGCGGCAGAACATCTTCATCACCTCGTCGTGACGAGAGCAGATGTTCTCCTGGAGCTTCTTGGAGGGCTCCACCAGCTTGTGTTTTTTAAACGTAGCTGCGTCATAATGAGGCTGGAGGTGTTTCTCACAATAAGAGGCCAGACACTGCAGACAGGACTTACAGGCTCTCAGTTTTCTCCCAGTGCAGAAATCACAGGCCACATCTTCAGCTCCAGCATAGCAGTGATCAGCAGGAGCAGCTTGGAGTCCAGTCTTCTTCAGCTCCTCCACTAAATCTGCTAACATGGTGTTCTTCAGCAGGACAGGCCTCGGTGTGAAGCTTTTTCTACACTGAGGGCAGCTGTAGACTTTCTTCTCATCCTCTTTATCCCAGTGGGTTTGAATACACTTCATGCAGTAGCTGTGTCCACAGGAAGTCGCCACCGGATCCTTCAGTAGATCCAGACAGATCGAACAAGAGAAGGTTTCCCGGTCCAGCTGAACTCCTTTTCTGCGCCATTTCACCTCTCAGTGACTGCGAGTGTCTGAGTTTCACTTCCTGAAACCTGAAACTATTGTGAGTGTGATCTGATCATGTGAGTTTGCAGTGAATAGGGCCTGTCAGCTCATGCACTGGTTACACCCATCAGGAAGTATGACGCAATTCATAAGGGGGAGCGTTGTTAAAGAGACACTCCGCTCCAAAGTCCACTCTCACTGCTTCCTTCAGTAAATGTGAGAGTTTTCAGGCTGATCAATCTGTGAAAACACAAGGTGCTTTGAGGCTCTCTCGCTGACTTAATGAGAGATTTCTGCGAGGAAATTGAGGAAATTGAAATGAACACAGCAGCAAGCACTTTGTCCAGTCATGCTTAGAAGATCTACTGCAACTGCAGCATATAGGCTGATGTCTTAAAGCATGCATTAGTATAGTGCATATGAACATCCTTTGTAGGAGACAGTGGAAAAAGCTATGTTTTATAAGTTTCAATATGCATGAGAGCAGGAAGAAGACGGATAGCTCATCAGGGTTTTATAGTGGCAACGTGGCAGAGGACTATTACCCTGTTCCAAAGTCCTTATAATAAGTTAGTGAGGCTACAAGGCAATCCCACTGAGGGAAAACAAAGTGTTGGGGGCTGTTTTGCTGACTTCTTTAACCCTTTGTTAACCCTTTCATGCACACTTCTTGCAAGTAACATAGTTGATGAAATAACACAGTTACCTGCACACAGCAGCAAGAACTTTGTCCAGTTCTTCATTCAGCGACTTTTTAATATACTAAAACACCATCTTTTACATTCATACAGCCATGAAAGTTGTTCTGCATTACATATAATATAGCCTACTTGAATTCTTATCTGTGTTATCTGGGAGTGTGCAGGGTTTCTGTCAAGCATTGTAAGTCGTAAAACAGAGCTACTCTACCTCTATTATCAGCCCCAAACAGTACATTGTGCTATTGCATTTCTGTGTACTGTATTCTGTATTCCCTTACGGATAAGTAGTCTGCAATACAAATATGCCAAGTTGTAATATGAAATATAGGGAGCCTAAAAACATCAGTGTCTAAACATGGGTCTGGTGTAATGAGAGCAGAGTGTGATACTTAAGGTGAAATATGAACAATTTAAGATGTAATTTGGACTTTTAATGGTTAAAAAAAAGGGACATTATTTAAAATAAACCTGAATTAGCCTTAAATCTTTTATAAACACAATTAAGATTGTGTCATGAATGCATTTTTGCTGTGAGAGCAACATAAGTGATGAAGTCTAGCTGCCAAAAAAAAACAACACCTCAGAAATTAAATTGAGCATTTTTCTGATTTCTGAGATTTTATTTCAAAAGGTTAAAAATAAAGTAAACTGCAGCTGTTTTTCAAATGGAGGTTTCCTGCTGTTGTTTTTGTGCTCCTTTGGATTTTTGATATGAATATCAGGTGTATATCAGTATGTCTACTTTAAAGTGGACCTATCATGCTATATTTGAATAATATAGTGTAGGACCATACCTATATAAGGCATATTTATACTTTTTTTTTTTTCAAAATACCAAACAGATCATGCATTTTAGCCATGCCTCATTTTGCTCAATTTGAAAAATGTTAGCTCTGTTTTTGCAAGGGTTGATTCTGTGAGCAACAGCACCATCTACAGGCCTGGCATATGTACTACAACGTCACCAGCGCTTTCGAACGGCAATGCTGTGGTTGTCTCCTCCTGATTGGTGGAGTTGGCCCAATAGCCGTAGCGCCACCGTCCTGACGTCAGGACAGTGTTCAAATCTGGATCAGTTTTTATCAGATCCGTTGCAGCCCCTTTTTTAGAGATTTGGGTATGGAGGAAAATAGAGAGGGTTGTGTTTTCTGACACTTGGTGAGTTCCCTGGAACACCGGGGACACATATTCATGTATAAAAGACGTACAAAAGTGCATTTTGCATGATAGGTCCCCTTTAAAGAGTCCTCTCCTGCTGATGTTTAGGTGTGTAGTGCTTCTACTTTAAAGAGTCCTCTCGTGCTGATGTTCAGGTGTATATCAGTATGTAGTGTCTCTACTTTAAAGAGTCCTCTCCTGCTGATGGTGTATATCAGTATGTAGTGTCTCTACTTTAAAGAGTCCTCTCCTGCTGATGTTCAGGTGTATATCAGTATGTAGTGTCTCTACTTTAAAGAGTCCTCTCCTGCTGATGTTCAGGTGTATATCAGTATGTAGTGTCTCTACTTTAAAGAGTCCTCCCCTGCTGATGTTCAGGTTTACATCAGTAGTGTCTCTACTTTAAAGAGTCATCTCCTGCTGATGTTCAGGTGTATATCAGTATGTAGTGTCTCTACTTTAAAGAGTCCTCTCCTACTGATGTTCAGGTGTATATCAGTATGTTGTGTCTCTACTTTAAAGAGTCCTCTCCTGCTGATGTTCAGGTGTATATCAGTATGTAGTGTCTCTACTTTAAAGAGTCCTCTCCTGCTGATGTTCAGGTGTATATCAGTATGTAGTGTCTCTACTTTAAAGAGTCCTCTCCTGCTGATGTTCAGGTTTACATCAGTATGTAGTGTCTCTACTTTAAAGAGTCCTCTCCTGCTGATGTTCAGGTGTATATCAGTATGTAGTGTCTCTACTTTAAAGAGTCCTCTCCTGCTGATGTTCAGGTGTATATCAGTATGTAGTGTCTCTACTTTAAAGAGTCCTCTCCTGCTGATGTTCAGGTGTATATCAGTATGTAGTGTCTCTACTGGGACATGTCTCCATGCTTTAATGTTCAGTTGTGATTGGTCGACCGCTTAGAGATGTCCCGCCCCTTAGCCTATCACGTACAATGTGTTGGAGCGCTAGCCAATAGCAGTGCAATGATAAATACAGAAATTATGAGAAACACAGTGCTGTACAGCTCCATGCTGCTATAGCCAGCTAAAGCTCTTTATTTGTTTTTAAAAGACATTTAGGAGACATTGTGACACATGAGGAAAAACCGTTGAAGCATCTTCTTATTTTTTTATACACGTAAATATCTCTTAAGGCACAAGATAAATTAAGAAGACGGGAAAAACAAAACCGCCTTTCAGAGAAGCTCTCGCATCCAAAAGAGAAAACAGTTTGATCCTTTCAAAATAAAACAGGAACAAGGAAGAGAAATGGGTGACAGCTGCAAAATACACGTAATAAAACATTACACATAACAGAGCCTTCATACATGTGCGTAAAATACTTTCTTGATGGCAAGAGAGTGTATTTGAAAAGAAACGATATTATTTACTGTTTTAAATACTAACATTTATGTTGTAGTTTGTATTAGATATTCTTGAACCCCGAGAGCAGGAGAGACTGAAAAGAGTCAAGGCACGCTTATAAAAGTTAACAGCATTTAATTACACTAAAGATGCGGTGGTTTACAAATGAAATTGCAAGCGGAGACACTCTCCCCATGTCTTGGTCAGCCCAGGTCCGGAGCATGGATCCTTGATTCTTGGCTTGGTCTTCCTGTTGTCATCTGAGGTCTTCTCCTATTGGCCAGCGTCGTCGGGGGGGCGGGTCCAATGCAATTCCTGCCTTTTTTTGTTGCTAAATTACATCCTTCTGGTGTCTGTGGTTATTTAAACATTCCCTGATAAACGTTATTCAGCGTCAATAAATGAGTGCTAATCCCAGTGTGTTTAGTGTACAACATCACATGTCATGTCACCTTCAATTCACGGTTTCAAAACGTTAGCCACATGCTAATGCTAACCGGAAATGAAGGATTTTCAGAATAAAACTGCTTTTAAGCTGACGTAATGTTTAAACTAAATTATGCCATAAAACATTGATTTTAATTTCTAACATTTGATATAAATCCCTTTTGAGCAAGTGCTGTGAAATCGATGCAGTTTTTAAACATGATATGAGCGGTAACAAATATATGTACACCAAATAGAATAATAAGTAAACGTGAATTTCAACAATTTCAAGACCTAAAAATGACACGTATTATTGACATGTTAAGACTCATGTTGATTCATAAACAACATGTGGAAAACTTGATTATAGCGGAACTTATGACGATATAAACCCTGACTGAAATGGTGACTAACTAAAGAAAAAAGCACATTTTTTAGACCTTATTTCTCATTTTAGGAGATGTCAATTAATTCCAGTTTTCTCAATCTTAAAAGCCGTTATTTGTGGATTTATTTGTAATTATTTGATATTTTTCAGAAGATTTTGTCGTCATCTTACATATTTTCTTTATTTTTAAAGCCATTATTTTCAGTAAATAAAGCTTATTTTTCGCATATTTTTGACAAAGTTACAAAAAGGTGAAACGTTTTTGTGTTACAGATAATTTCTCTTAGTTTGGGTACCAATGTGAATTTTTTAAATGTCACTATTTGTACTTTTTTGTGTATTAAAAAGCTTTTTAAAATGAATAAAAAAGCAATCAGAAGTGTTTTTATTAATGTGAAAAGTGGTGCAAACATATATTTGTACTAGGAATATTTTTGGTGTAAATTTAAAATGTAAACTGTTAATGTGTACATTTTGTTAATATCATTTTTCCCCAATTGTATCAGTGTTTAAAGCCACTTTTATTAGATTTCTTCTGTAATTTAAACATCACGAACACTGTCTTTATTCACTGGTTTATTCCTGTATTTTCAAAATAAAAGACAAAAAAACTGGATATCTTTTATTGTGAAAAACCGACAGGAAGTGATGATTTCTTTAAGGTACACATCAATCGGGGAACATGACAATACTATAAATGTGTATGAAATGTGTTTTTATACATAGTGGCTTTAGATAAATGAAGAAAATATGGGTGATAATTGCAATGCAACTAATATTTGGGGAAATACGGATAAATCTGTCTGTTTTCAACTTCTAACTTTCATATTTAACAGAAAAAATAGGTATTCTCTCAT